GGTCAAAGCAGATGACTGCTTGTCCTGAGCCTGGTTCTGCTGGAGGTTTCTTCCTGTTAAAAGGGAGTTTTTCCTTCCCACTGTTGCCTTTTGTGCTTGCTCAGGGTGGGAGAACGTGACGAAGTGAAGATTCACCATGTCTGCTGGCCTCCTTAGATTGAGAACTTTACTAATTGGCTTTTCTATGTATGTGAATGTTCCTGTAAAGTGCCCTGAGACAACTTTGTTGTGAATTGGTGCTATATAAATAAACTGAATTGAATCCATTTGAATATATTATGAGGCTGTTTACTCATGTGCATAATGTTAGACTGTGTTTCTGTACTGCAGAGAAACTGAAACGGTGGAAGAGAGAGTGAAGGAGCTAAACATTCCTTTGAAACACAAACTGCCTTTATCTATATATACACATATCATTAACCTTTAGCTTCCACTGTGCGCTCCTGTGCACTTCTCCTTGTCTTTCTTCATATCCCAAACACACCCTAAAGTCTCCTGAGGTTTTCTTATGGCTGAGTTCTGTTCCCCTCTCTCATTCCTACTAAATATAGGCTTTAGAGCCATCTGGGAGAATGATTTTGCTCCCTCAATATTACCATCAGCAGTTTCAGCTGGCCAAGAGAGATCTCTGATGGCCCCTTCCCATTCCAAATTCACAGTCCTGACCTCAGCCTCCTCCTCTTCCTCGTCTTGACACCAACACTCCTGCCACCCACACCCCAAACCTTTTGGAAGATCTGCCTTCTGAGGGTTGGGAGGGCTTTGCACTTTGCAGGATCTGAGTCCAGCCATTGTAGGGTCAGAGGCACTAAAGGATTTGTATGCTTGTGATTGAGATCTATATCTTCTTCACCATTTGGCATTTATAGGTCTTCCTCTCCTGACAGGATCACAACATAAATCCGGTGAGTGGAACTATTTTGCTTTGGTTATTGTTCAGTCGAGTAAACAATCTGAGGAGATACTGATAAAGGCGTGCAATATATTCCCAATCATTATTTAGGTTGTAGTGCAACTAGACGAGACAAAAGGAAGTGCTCCTGAACCTGTCAAATTAAAATTGTTCAGATTAAGACATAAGATAGGGAAGTTGTTTTTGTTTTTGCTTCTTTGTACATAAAATGAATTGAACAAATGAGTGAAAGTGCTGAGTGTCCATCTTTGGTGAGTTTATGTGGTGTTATCAGACCAGGGTGTGTGTGTGGGTGGAGGTGGGGGGTAGTAAATTTGAACACAGTTCCCTGCAGCCTTCTATTTAAGAGAAGTTAAAAGTGATTTAAAATGCTCCTTACTAAATTTACATTTTGGCTCAGAGTCCTGGTTTGATAGGTCCAGCATGTGCTTAAGAACTGATTTTCTGGATGTGTGTTTTGTGTCCTGCAGAGTTCTTTCAAGCCCATTTGATAGCCAAATGACGCCATTACATGTCGCTAAAATGTCTTGGCCGGAATTGGCCTTTAAAAATAGCTGCACGGGGTTATGTTACAGCCACTAGATGCAATGTGGTGTTTTGCCACTTGACTGGACCTTAAAAAAAAAAAGCGGTGGCGCTGAATTTGCAGATATTTGTGCCACAGAATAAAAAAAAAACAGCATTTAAAATATTCCTATAAACAAAGCATTTGAAGACAAGAGAAAGATGGTGCCTGATGTTTATGTAAGCGTAGGGTGATGTCTTGATATATGAGACTCATAAACTCCACCTGATTTGTTCACTTGCAAGAAGCTAAAAGGCGATTATGAGCTTATGGTATGAATAACACTCAAGTTATCTAATGCTAATGATGCCTTCACTTTCCCCACAGTTAAATGTAGAGCAGTTTTTTTGCATTTGTTTACGTTGACTCCATCAGCACACAGATCCTGTGTCCTATAACCACAACTGAAACACATATTGAGCTATAGGTTTCCTATGGGGATGGCATCTGTTCCACGAGAGAATGTAAGGCATCCGAGGGCACTGACAACCCCTCCCTCTTTTGAAGGTGGAAAAATTAGGAGGGTCTGTGGTGTCTGCAGGTCCGTTACATACCGGTCCTCTGACCTCGGGGATTGATCATGGGTGGTGGTGTTGATGATGTGAAGTTAGCTCGAGAACTTGTGCAAACTAAACTGCAACTAAAACACTCTTCTCAGTGGAGTTTATTAATAAAATTCACATTTGTTTCCTTTAATTGTTGTTTTTTTAATTGGCTTATCAAAATTTTACCTCTTTTTGCTTTTGACTTATTTTTCCCAGTTAGTTTAGTTTCAAGTTAGGCTTTATGTTGACGCTTTGAATCCTGGAGGAGCTCTGACTGTATTTTATTCTCCTGAGCGAAGGAGTTTCTCTTGCCTAGTGGCTTCAGCAAGTTTCAAATGAAGGCATGCTGCTCTGTATTTTTGTACCCAGGAGTAACGTTCTCTGTTTTCTTCCTGACCCTCCAGCCATGCCTCTGGGAACACCTGCCCCCCTAAACAAGCGGAAAAAGCCCTCCAAGATCATAACTGACCTATCGCATATCAGTCAGAATGGTAAGGCTGACGTAAAATGATGTAAATGTGAAATTACCTCTGCTCAGTACTGCTCTTTACATACAGAAATCATCAGAAGGTGCTGTAATCTAAAAAGAGAAGTGGCGATATTGTGTGCAATCGTATAATTATGTAAAAAGCATCAAACAACTCCTAAATTAATATAAAATTAGGTCTAGATGGGATATTAGGTAGCTGGTTCATTTTTTTTTTATTTCTCAATTATTATAAACAGATGAAAAGTGCAAAATAAAGTTAACAAATTTCATGTTATATTCCTACTTTTACTGAAAAGATGCACATGTGCACAAAGGAAAACAAAAATGTAGGCTAAGCTTGAATAAAATAGACATTTAACTCTATTTCAGTAGCATAAATGGAGGAGACTGATTTCTTTCTTTCATCATCATTTCTTTAGTTATTTTTCTATTGTTGGCAGATTTTCAACTGCTGTGGTCAGTTTTTTAATTATTATTTCTTTGTTATTAATTGTCCTGCCTAGAGTTTGAAGCAGAGCCAGAGGCATCAGAGCTGGACCTGGGAAAAAAGATCAGGACTCCCAGAGACATAATGCTGGAGGAGCTGTCGCTGATGAAGAACCGAGGCTCAAAGATGTTCAAGATGAGGCAGCAGAGAGTCGAGAAGTTCATCTATGAGAACAACCCTGATATCTTCAGCAACGATTCAATGGTGAGAGCCCGGCAAGTAGATTTTACTCATATACAGGCAACATAAATGAGATTGTGTTGAAGTGAAAGGTTTTTACTTAATGTTAGTTTTACTAGAAGTAAAACGAAAACTTTTTACTTCGTAGGTGCACCATCTACAATAATGATCCCATTCTTTTTAGGACAACTTCCAGAAGTTTGTTCCCTCTCTGGGTTGTCAGCTGGGAGGTCAAATAATAAATGTTGGTGGGCACTTTGTGAGCAAAGAGTCTGGACATCCATATTTAGGAGCCATGTCGGCAGGAGGAGGAGCCCCAGTGCCTCCTCCAAAGCCTGGAAGCAAAGGAGCTGGAGCAGGAGGAGCAGGAGGAGCAGGTGGTGCTGGAGGGGCTGGAGGTGCAGGAGGGCTGGGCGGGGATGACAAAGGGAGGAAAGAAGATGGAACGAGCGGGTCTTCACTAAAAGGTTTGCATCTTACTTTTAATGTAGTTTCTCTGAGGATTTTATTTTCTCAAACCAATAAACATCTTCTTCTTCCAGAAACATTTTACAGAACGAACCACAACAACAACAGCTACAGTGACTGAATGAATGAAAAGACTCTAAAAATCGACATTAGCTAATTTACATATTACATTTTTAAACAAATGAAAGACGATAGAAACTTTTGTTTCTTATTGTTTGATTCTGTTGTTTTCAAAATGTGCTTAGAAACAAGCCTTAATTAAACATGCCATGTCGTTTATTCTTCTTCTATTTCTGCAAGAATAAATGAAATTAGACATAAGCTAGACAAACATTCGTTTGACATTTTCACAGTTTAAAACTTTAGCAATAAGAGCAAATATACAGAGGCATGCATGCCCCATCCATCCATACCTGCTTCTTCCTTTTTGGGTCATGGGGGTCACTGGTGCCCATGTCCAGCCATCACTGTGCGAGAGGCGGGGTACACCCTGGACAGGTCTCCAGTCCATCACAGGGACACATAGAGACAAACAACCATTCACTCTCTCACTCACACCTAGAACAATTTACTTACCCATCAGCCTAACATGCATGTTTTTGGTCTGTGGAAGGAAACCGGAGTACCCAGAGAAAACCCACGCATGCATGGGGAGAACATGCAAACTCTACTCAGAAAGGTCCCGCATCGGGATTTGAACCAGCAACCCTCTCGCTGAGAGGCTACAGCTCTTCCAACTGTGCCACCGTGCTGCCCTAGACCTGACCCGCTTAAAAAACTTAAAGCAAACTGATAATATCAAACTCTAAATGAACATACCGTTTTGGTCATAAACCAATACACATGAACAGTTTTAACAGATGATTTTGTCTTAATGTTGTTTGTTTAAAATTAAATAATAGAGATTGGCTTTTTATTAGAAATGCAAAGTGCTGAATGATTTTGCTGAAATTTGCTGAAGAACTTTGCTAACTGAGTTGTTAGAGCTAAAAGAAGCAGAACAAGAGCTAAAGGCTATCTGACAAATAAAATGACAAACTAACAACTAAAAATGGCTAAATGTTACCTACAAGTAGCAAAACATGATCTAAAATCTAAAAGTAGCAAAAACTAGCTAACCAAAGTTTAGCTTAAAACTAGCAAAAGAATAGCTAGGACCTAAAAAGAGCAAAATGTTGGCTAAAAGTAGCATGAGGCTAGCTAAAAGCTAAGAGGAGAGAAAAAAACAGCAGATGTTGAAGTGGATTTCAAAGAGAAAGGTTTAGAAGGGATTGAAGAGATTGCAAAGTATTTGTAATTCAAATGAAATATTTTGAAAAAAGTAAAATAGTTGCAAAAATCTTAGCATCTATACATGTGATGTGAATGTGCTGATTTAAAATATGAATGGCTAAAATAGCACTGGTAGTTATATGGCAAAAAAAATGTAATAAAATAAAAACAAACACAAAAAAAAAATAGAAAAATATCAACATTCACACAATTTGTTTTATAATTAAATCTGTTTTTATTTTTAAAAATGTTAACCACGTTAATTTTTATTTTTTTGAAAGGAGACTGTAAATGATCTGTAGGCAGCTGTAAATGATGGAGATGTTTTCCACACAGGAAGTGGAAAAGATGGAACTAAAATGCAGATCCACATGAAGACTTACGTGTCTCCATGGGAGAAGGCCATGAAGGGCGACGAGAACCTGCTGGCCACTCTAAAGTTTGGAATGCCTGGCCCCATTGAATCAAACGAACTCCGCAAATTCAAGTGCTTCAACAGGTACTTTCCTCGCTGTTTGATTTTGTTGGTTAAAGTAAGAAACCACAGTTTTAGTTCACTTTTTGTGTCACCTGGTTTGGTTCTAGGATGGCCATGCCCTTTGGCGGCTTTGAAAAGGCCAACCAGCTCATGAAATTCCAGCTGCCAGAAACTGAGGTGACCAAACCGGAGCCCGAACCTGCAGTGGTGTACCAACATGACATTGGCTGCCGACCCTCCTTCAATCGTACTCCGATTGGCTGGGTGTGCAGCAGCGAGCCCAGCAGCATCCACATGGAGACAGATGCCGTGCCCTTTGATGGAGAGACCGACGAGCTGTGAAAACCCAATCATACTGTGATTACACTCACTGTGCACATACACACAAACATGAGCCTGACTGGATGGATAAACGTCAGCATGCACTCAGTAGGCGAGCTTAAAATTCTGTTGTAATAATATTAACGAGTTTGAATGTCCGAATGTGAATACCTGAAAGTGTACATGACTTGCAGTCGTGCCTCGCTCTGTATTGGGTTGTAAGTCAGATACAAAGCTGCAAAGCTTATGATAAATCACCAAACGCTATTTTATCAAGCTTTAGTGACAGCTTTGTCAGAAAAGTTGAGAAGTCAGCGATTTTCTTTAAGAGGAAAGAATGAATTACGTGTGAAGATGGAGATTCCCGCTGCTACTTTTGTGCATGCTCCCTTAATGATAATCGCCACATGTGTTGTCTCCATTTTGTCTTTTTTTTTTTCATGATTTTGATTAATTGTAGAAGTATAAAAACACCACAGTCATGTTTAATTTGGTATGCAAGCTTTTTTTGATTCCTGTGCCAACATAATTTTGCCACGGTAAACTTGAACTATTTTTTTGATGAGTGATAAAATAGCTTAAAAGGGTTTATCAATGCATTTAACGAATCAAATAAAAGAAAACATACACAGCATCTACTCCAAAGTTTGAGAAGTTTGATAATTGTATGCAAAAATATTAAAAATTATTGCAAAACTAAGTCCATATATGCTAAATTGACAGATTTTTTTTAAACAGGCACAGCAACAAATTAATAGAAATATTTAAACTAGAGCCTGTACACAGGCTGCCTAAAAATAAAAACTTAAGTAGAAAGACGATTTGTTTTATTATGCTATAAATTCCTTGTGTAAAGCTCTGTGTTAGTTTAGTTTGGTTGATTTTGATGTGAAGATTGAACTTCTTAAGGTAATCAGTCAAATCTATAACTCTAATTAAACTTCATTAAAAGTACACAATCTTTTAAAAATGTATATTTTATGATTAAACTAAAACATTGTTACTTTCAGCATATGTTGTGTGGCTTTGTGAAACAACTTTGTCCCAGTAAAGTGGAAAACTTGTCTTGGTGCAACAGATAAGATGACACTGAATGCATCGTCTACAGAGAACGCCTGCGTACACGCTATGACCTGTGTTGACTTTACCAGAGATTTCTTTACAATCGTAGTAGCACATTGTAAAGAAATCCCTTAAATCAACATGATCAGCTCTGATGTGTTCTGAAATGTTATGTTGACTTCTGAGAAATACACCAACCTCCAGTGACCATGAAAAATGAATAAGAAAATAAAGGAAAAGTGTTGTGATTTATTTTTATCACTTTGGAATCAACTACAAGTTTATTTATGTAATTTAATTAATATTAATTTGTTTAAAATGCACCAATTAAACAATTTATTAGCGTGGGCATCAGTTAAGTTATTTATTTATTTATTTGCACGATGAATAGATTTTCTGTGTGAAACATGGTCAGGTATTTTCAGACAGTGCTGCAGAGAGGCGACGCCGCAGGATCCGGATTGACATGGAGTGAGTAGGTATGAACAACTGAAGGAGTGGCATCACTTAAATAAAAACAGTATTAATAGTGCTTTATCTGACAGTGGCAGTCTTTGGCAAGCTGCAGCTGGGAGGTCATGATTTAAAATAATATGAGCAAAAATAACTGGGCAGCATGGCAGTGCAGTGGTTAGAACTGTTATCTCACAGCAAGAAGCTCCTGGGTTCAAGTCCCAGAATTGGATTTGTGGAATTTGCGTGGGTTTCCTCCTACAGTTCAAAACATGCACGTTTAAGCTGCCCTCAGGTCCAGGCCTCCTCAGAAAAATAGATATGTGGTCTCACTAGAATTTGCCGGATTAAATAAAGGTTAAAACAAATAAAGTATTTATGTAAATGGACGGTGTATACTTATAGCACCTTTCTATCTAACCAAAGCACATTGCAACAGAAACTGTGCCTTCATACAGCACTCTACTACATTTCTATAATATGAGTAAATTATCTTTGGAAACTAATCAGTGCTTTAGATCACATTCATACACAGATGAGACACACATCAGAGGCAAAGAGGAGTTTACTGTCTTGCTCATGGACACCTCAGCATTTGTTTAACTCTTAATCTACTTTTTGATGAATGAGAATTTTTTATCGCCCTAAAATGGAGTCTGTAAAATCTCTCAAATTTGCAATTATCTAAAAGAAAGAAAAACAAAGAAAGAACATTTAACTTAAGAAAGATAAAGGGAGAGTGCTGTCGCAGATTTCAGAGAAGACGAGCCTGTGATCGGAAAGTCGCCAGTTCAAATCCCAGGATCAACAACATTGGGACACCCAAGCCACCTGCATCATGAAGGACCCCACTCACCCAGCACACACACTTTTTGCCCCACTCCCCTCAGACAGAAGGTTGCGGAGCATTACGTGTAGAACCACTAGACTGAGGAACAGCTTCTACCCTGAAGCTGTTAGGATTATAAATCCCTAACCAGGATAATCATTTTGAAAAAAATAAATCACTGTAATGCCATTTTGATTATTGGTATGTGCTGCTGATTATCCATGCTGCTGATCTCATGCTACTGATTATTTCATGCTGTTGTATTCATTCGAACTCATCTACTCACACAGACTCATGTTCGTGCTGCTGTTTTTCGACATATTTTGCACTATTACTGGTAAGGGTTTAGCGTGTTTCATTTATATCTTAGATCAGTACTGTTTCTTTTACAATGTATATTTTACCATTTTTGGACGTAACTGGGACCCAGTGCACACAATTTCGTTCTACCTCATGTATCACATGTGATGTGAAGGACAATATAAAACCTTGAACCTTTATAAAAACAATTGCCAATGAGTTGGCTCGCTGTGGTTACCCCTGACGAAGCGAGCAGCCGAAAGAGACAAAAAAACAAACAAACAAAAAAAAACTTAAGAAAAATTAAATATATGCTTTGACAAGGGAGGTACAGAGCACAAAATGATGCACACATTTGAAACAACATAAGTTAAGTTTGCAAACGTATTGATTTATTTAGCTGTGAAGTTATTTAGCATCTATTTTGCAGTAAAGACACATGTAAATTTTATTACGACCACTTAAGAAATAATTTGTCAAATGGACAAAAAAAAACTAGTTTTGGTGACAAACAGGTCAAATCCATCTTTACAGCGTTGTTGCTACACTTGTGGTCGGCAGTTCCACTCCTACACAGATGGGGGCGCTGGCGCTCCGTATAGCATTTTTAATAACAGTTTGAAACGTTGAAAGTTTAAACAGCGTAGAAGAAGTGTTTTTTCATACATATCTTTTTGAACGTAGAAGAAGACAATGAACGACAACAGCGACTGTGCGATGGCAGCGCTTCAGTTATGTACATCATTCCGTTATTTTTAGGTAACTTCATCATTCTTTCACATTTTCAGGAAGCTAAGAGCTAAGTGTAATTTAAAATGGCTTACACTGGTTTCATAGCAGAACAAACAATCAAACCAGAAGTCAGTTGTCGATATATTTCATAGCAAGTCGATTTTTAGTATCTTTATAGCAGATTTTTTTAATCTTATTTCAGCATTCGTGGCGTGTTCCTGTGTTAAAAATGCACCACGTCAATCTGTAAAGGCTTCATTATTTGAGAGGAAGATAGAAGATGAGAGGGCCTTTTCAAAATGACTTTCTATTTATTCTTTGTAAAGTCTTTGTTTTTCTGCTGTATTACACAATACTTATAATATATTTATGCTAGGATTGTTTTTCAAAGGCATTTATGACCTGAATAGCTTTTTTAAACCATTAACGTTTTATGTTAAAGCTAGCCAATAAAACACTGACTTTTTTTAATGCAAAGTTTTTGTGCTAAACATGATTCATTTAATGCCATAAAATATTTCATGTTTTATGGGTTTACCTTTCTTCATATCGTCTGTATGGACACTACCAAATGTGACTAGCCAGGAAGTCCGGAGATAGTTGAAACCATCAACAACCATCGTCATCGTTGTCGTCTTAATCATCTTTGTCATCATCATCATCATCATGCATAATCATGTAATTATTTCTATCCTTAACTGATTTTTTTGTCTTTCTCCCAACAGGGGGGAACCCCTTGCCCTGTCTTTCTGTGTTTGTCTGTTTCTCCTTCCTGTCCTCTCAAACCCAGCCAGTCGAAGCAGATGGCCGCTCGTCCTGAGCCTGGTTGGGCTGGAGGTTTCTTCCTGTTAAAAGGGAGTTTTTCCTTCCCACTGTTGCCTTTGTGCTTGCACAAGATGGGAGACTGTAATGAAGGGATGATCCAACACATTTATGTATGTTTTTGTTGCTGAGACAACTTCTGTTGTGACTTGGTGCTATATAAATAAACTGAATTGAATTGAAGTAAATATCAAGCAACATGTTTGATTTTTAAGGACATCTTGAGCATTTTGTTCCATTGAAATAGTAAATCAGTCAACAAGATTCTTATTGAAGTTCAGTTCTAAAAAAAAAAGAAGTAACTTTGATTCATTGTGGTTATTACAGATTGTAAAACTCCAAAAGCCATTGATATTTCTTGATGAGAGAGGTTAAGATCAGACTGTTTGTTTCAGAAACATTAAAGCAAAGCGTGACGTTTCCTGATGGCCTCTGACTCAAAGCCACGGTTGTCCCCACTTCCATGGACAGAAGTACTTGTGTACTGGGTGTTATCCTTTGGTTCTCATCTCTACTCTTTTTATAAGTTGCACACGTTTTCCAAAGGTAAAAACAAAACAAAATATTGCATTAATTTGAAGATTTCATGAAGGTTTATGACCCGTTTGTCGCCTGTCATACCCCAGAGCACGAAGAGGGATTAGAGAGAGAGTTCAAGTTGGAAAATGGTCTTTTAAAAGGTTTTAAAAGGGTAAGCTCAATGCTGTTTTTATTATTATTATATTTTAAGCTCAGTCTGAGACAGCATTGTGATTTATTTCCCTAACTGTGCATGTTACATTAATAAAATGCAGCCATATCCAAAGTTTCTCTGTTATAAACATATTTATTCAGCATAAAACCAACAAGTTCATGTTAGTTTTAAGACTCTTTGTAAAGTTAATTTGTTTTTCTAAGGATATTTTAGACTTTGAGTGGAGTTTCTGGACTGAATGGGCCAAAAATAGTTTACTATGGACTCTGATCGGCCATGGCATAATATCAAGATTAACCACCATCTTCAACCCCAAGGTAAGACGAAAGTATTATTAGACGAGTTAAATGTGTATTTCTGGATGTTCTAACAATGTTTGTCCAACAGCTCAGGGTGCCTGCACTTACACTATATGGCTTCCTAGCAGCCAGCAGTGTGTTGGGGATTAAAGGTGTGAGTGTGCTGCTTGTACATCTGGGGGTTTCCTTCTCAGTGGCCCAGCTGCGGAAGCCTACTTTGTCATGGCTTTTTAACCTTTTGCTGATTTCCACCCTTCACATTAAGTCACTTCAAGACATTCAGGTGGGTTGTGTCACCAAGAATGTACATTTTTAATTTTTAAACTGAGATGTTTCCTTCTTGCATAAAAGTAAATAAATACATAGAAAAAAAAAGTAACCCATCAGTCAGAGTAGAAATGAGACAGTGTATCTACATTAAAAACTTTGTGGACTTTTAATTTTGTTTTTTAATGTACGGTAAATAATTTTCCAGCTTTTTGAATGAGTGGTTAGAGCAGTCATCCTCCAATGCAAGAGATGGGGGTTCAAATACACCAGCAGTCTCATGCTAAATTGTCCCTGGGCAAGCCACTGAACCCCTCATTGCCTCTGATGTGTGTCCCATCAGTGAATGAATGTGATAAAACTCCGATTAGTCTCTTTAGAATGATTTGTTCAATTAGCTTCCTACAGATCTAGTAGTATGAATGGGTAAATGAGGGCACAGGTTGTAGTGTAAAGAGCATTGAGTATCTTGAAATAAGATAGAAAGGTGCTATGTAAGTACAGTCCATTTACCATTACATGATATACTTGCCAAAAAACACAAGAGGGCAGTAGATACTAAGAAGCTGTTGTGTCTATTAGCTTCATGTTATTTCAAATTCATAAGACTAAATAAATGTTAAATGAGTTTACTGGAAGCATATGGCTCAAGTAGGTTGTTTACAACATTTAATATGACTATTTGTGTCCACCATCCCCCCCCCCCCCCCCACACACACACACAATGCATAGTCCTGTGTTCAGCATCATTTCAAAAGCAATGAAACTTTCAGTGATTTTAATTTTACTCATTGATGTAAACATGCCACTTTTTCTAGTCTGTAAGCACATACAGAGGTGTACTGTTCTAACGTTCTCTGTAAACATGCTAAAAGGTTTCTCCTAACCATGCATTACCCAGAGAGGCTGGTACAGCACGGAGGAGGAGTACTACCTGCTACTCTTCAGCGTTGCTATGTGCGGCCTGCGATTCATCAGCTTCAGCCTGGAGCACTGCTGGAGCCCTTTAGATCCGAGTGGAGTCGTGGAGCTCTTTTGGTTGTTTTCATACACCTTCTATCATCCCCTCTTCTACAATGGACCCATTATCACCTTCAAAGCCTACACAGAGCAGGTAAGAGTAAAATTGCCTCTTCTGCTTTTGCTTTGAAGGCTGAGGCTGATTGCTCCACCCCAGAGTAGCTTTTATAAGCATGTAAACAGGTTGTTGTGTGTTTAAATATATACTAGCTTGAGTTGTAGCATGTTTTTTTTTGTTTTATAAAGTCTTTAACAACTTCTTCTTTGTTTATATTTTTGAGTCAAGTTGGATCTTTTGAATCACTGCTGCAGCATTAATGCATGTTTAGTTAAAATGTTTGTGTACATTTTTTACTCTTATTAACAGCTTGAACCGTTTTTTTTTTTTAACTCCGTATCTCAGAATAACGTGTTGTCTTGCTCAACTTACAGATGCGATGGTCTATTGAAGAGAGGAGCAACAGAAGTGAACCTGCTCTTCGTTTCTTGTTACTCAGATCGGGACGTATTTTACTGTGGTGGTGTCTGGCAGAATACATGATCCATGTCATGTACATGCACTCTATCCAGTCTATTGAGACTTACATAGAAATTCTCCCTCCATGGGCATTGGGTAAGTCTTTATCAACAGTTTTTGCCACTTCATACGTGATAGACCTCAACTTAAGATGAAACTCCCACATGTCTTGGTATATTTTGATGATTTGAATGATTTATCAGCTTAAGCAGAGGCTCCAGGCTGAAGCTGATGAATAGCAATAACTAACATCACTGAAAAATCATATGGTCGAATTAAATCCTCTGGGTGCATCAACCCAAAATGATGTCAAACGTTATTTCCTCACTATTCATTTTCTGATGTCACATATATTATTGATTTTAAATTTGCCTCTTATCGTTCCTTTTTTATATTTGTAAGGTGCATGGGTATTTTGCATGCACAGTCAGAAGTAGGTGAAATTTTAAATCCAACTTTGGGATTTAACTGAGCCAATCATCCAGACATCCTTTTAACTCATTTGTCCTCTGTGTCCCCTTGTTGTCAAAAGCAAGAAAAGAAGCATCTTTGGATAATAGAAACACTGATTCATAATCATTAGTTCTGCAACTTTTTAATTACTGCATTATTTATGTTGACCTGAGTTCTTACATGTTCACAGGACAGCTATTAATCTTTGTCTCTTGCTAGTATGAGTTTTTTGCTATAGAACTGAAACTAATAGACGATGCTGAATTAATTTTTATAACAAGTCATTACTTTCACCACTTGTTTCCTCCTTTGTCACAGGCGGTCTTGCTCTGGCCCTTGTTCAGTTCTTCTATGTGAAGTATCTGGTTCTGTTTGGACTTCCATGCACACTCGCTGCTTTAGATGAACTGGTTCCCCCAAAACTTCCTTCTTGCGTCAGCATCATGTACAGCTTCACAGGGATGTGGAGGTAAAGCTACACAGTATGGAAGTACACAACATTTGTACTGTGACGTGTATTATTTTATTGTCTAGGAAAAATCGCAACCCTGATATCTTTAAGGAAAATATAGTGCAAATATAGTATAGTGCTTGCTGTGCCTCAGCAATCAGATCCAACCTGGCCTCAGAAAATTGTCTCATCTTAACCAAAAAAAGTCCCATCCCAGTGTCTCATCTTAAGTCATTACCAGCAATAGAACAATTGGTCACCTCAAGATCAGGAGCATTATTATTGTTTTTCTGCATCACACTAAAATGGTTTGTTTCCTGTGACTGAATCACTACTCTCTGGCTAAAACTGAGCTTTTTTTTAAAGTAATAAATTCAATATTTGTAGAGCATAATGCAATTCAGATAAAAATCCCATCATTAATTCTATTCAAGTCGTATCATGTCTTCTGAAGGGGATATATTTTACAAAGATATAAAACAAACAAAAAAAAGTATTTTATGTTTTCATGATGGTATGTAATTTAGTTTTAAACATTTACACTCCCAGTGAAGTTATGGTTGTATGTGGGTTTCCAACCAGAGCCACATCAAATTTCAGGATTATTATTACAACTCTAAATTGTCCCTAGGTGTGAGTGAGAGAGTGAATGGTTGTTTGTCTCGTTTGTCTCTATGTGTCCCTGTGAGGGACTGGAGACCTGTCCAGGGTGTACCTCGCCCCTCGCACAGTGATTGCCGGACATGGGCACCGGCGACCCCCGTGACCAAAAATGGAATAAACGGGTAAAGAAAATGGATGGATGGATGGAGATAATGGATGGATGGATGGATTATTATTACGTTAAAACACCATCCTCTTCTTACAACAGGAATATAGCGTCTGAGAAAAGTTTGCCTAATTTATGCTGAAGGGGTCACAATTGCTCAAGTTGTTAAAGATGCTGGTTCCTTACATACCAATAAAATAAACCAAAACATTATTATGTTTGAAAAAAGGCCCAAAACATCCTCAATTTAAGTGCGCTGTAAAATAATTTACTAATTCCTGGCGTATAAAAGTTTTGAGCTATGTTTGCATTTGTGTTTACCAAATATAACTAACAGCTTCAGGTTAACAGCATCTAAATAAAAAGTCATATCATTAGCTGAATGATTTGAGCTGAATGATTTGAGGCTCCCGAGCAAGGCCCTTAACCCCCACCATCTGCTCCCCCGGGTGCCCTAGATGGCAGCTCTCTGCTCCACACAGAGGGCTGAGGTAGCTCGGTGGTCTATGGTTGTGTCAGGAAGGACATCCGGCTTAAAAATAATTGCCAAGTCGTTGTGTGAGTTACTTCACTGTGGCGACCCCTGAAAAAGAGAGCAGCCAAAAGAAAAATAAAATAAAATAAAAATAAATCATTAGCTGAATAACCTCCTCTCTAAAACAAATTAAAACTTTATGCAGGGAGACTAAGTTTCAGGACTAATTTAGCCCAATTTGCCTGATAAATAAACTGTTGGGTTCAGTATATGAACTAGGATTTAACCAAACAAGCATGGAGCTAAACGTTTGTATTATTTCTAGATTACAATCAGATTGTGATCCGAAGTAAGGAATAAATAAACCTGATGGTTTTTAGCAACTTTCAAGAGAAATCTCATTAGGTTTTGTCACTTTCTCTCAGCACAGACATTTATATTTGAGACTGTAAGTAACGCTGAGAAACACTCCCTCAGTTTAGAGCTCATAAAAATGAAAGTGGAGGGGCAGAGTGTTCGGTTTGGCACAATAAAACACACTCTTTACTGCGGACCAACCAATGTGCTGACACTGGTGCACTCTTGCTTTTGCTGATCTGGTCGATGTTGACAACATCGATGAAATGCATAAAGCTGCTCGCTGACATCATTGATGAAACCGTTAGAGGTTATAGACTATGCCAGGTTTAATCTTTGTAATGACAATGAGGGAGCGCACAGACACATATGCGTCATGCAGCAGATGCAGCTCTGGTCTCACTTTATGTCTAGTGTTCAGGTGTTTCTTACTCAGTGCTTTATTATTATGCAAATTTGTCACTGAGATATTTCTATTTTTCTCTCTCAGGCACTTTGATGAGGGGCTGTATCGATGGCTCATCAGGTAAGAGGCTCTTCATGAGCGGTGGACTCGCTAATTCAGATGTTAATGCTTGATAAAAAGTGAAATGTTATCTAAATCGTATAATAGCTCTAAAATCAGACCATCACTCTGTTTTATTGCAACACTTTGCTACTTATGAACACTTAAAAGAGCTCATGTTCTGTGGGACACTGGTATGTGACAAACCTTAAAAGCTCAAAATGCTGTTCTTTTGTTGCTCACACGTTTCATCACAATGGACAGCGATGCTGCATTTGCACGCAGGCTTTCTCATGTTTATGAGGTTGCATGCTGTCGGTGAATAATTCTTCTGTTGCGTTGCTGCTCCCGCACTGCAAAGAGATGCTTCCTTGTTTAATATGTGCACATGTAATTGGAGGATTATGTGTTTTTTCACTTGCACTTTGGACAGCGTGTTATTAGTCGGCTTTTCTTTTAATGATGCACACTTGGCTGAGTCCAGCCTGTTGGGAGTTTATGGTCTGCTTGTTAGATGCACATTGCTACTTTAAAGCAACTTTGCATCTGAATGGTTGTTAGAGAATACACAGAATATGCAGAGATCTTTAGTGTTTATTATTTGCTCATTTGTGTTGTGGCTGTTGCCCACGTACATCAGCCTTTCAGCTGTAATAAAAGAAACTTGCTATTACAGTGACATCAATTTAGTCATAAAAGATCCATCACTTTAAATTGCAAATACACGTTTCCATTTTAAGCTGAGCCCATTGGAAATTATTTTCTTCTGCTTAATAGCATCACTTGCAATTATCCTTCTGCAGATGCAAGATGATACCCATGACACAATACCCCGACTGTTCCTTCTCGCTAAAGTGCTTTTAAAGATGTTTTAATGCGGTTCTGAAATTCAGCCGATATTGTCTGAAGAGGGCTGGATGAGAGCGTAGGTGTTAAATGATGTGCTCTACATGACTCACTGACACCTCGTCTCCCTGGGCAGCTAAGAGGCTCGTTCTTTGCCATTCCATTACGCTGTCCCTGCCCATGTGCCGCAGTGTTTTCAGCTTCAACGTTTCACTCACGTTCAGTTAACCGCCAACAAAGAAAGCCCTTTCCGGTGGATTGATTGAGTTATTGATGCTACAGAAGAGCAGGACATTTTTAGTCTCATGTTCTGACAAATATTACTTGTAAATAATATGGGAGTATAGGGTTTGGTTGTTGGTTAACTTTGGTTCTGATTGTATTTTAGACCAAACCTGTCATACAACTCCTTAAAAACACAGGAATCAACTACTTAATCAATGTCTTAGCTTTTTTAATACCACTTTCAGTAAATCCTCTTGTCATCGTCTCATATACTCAAAAACATAAAAAGGGTGTGTGCTGTAAAAAAGTTAACTCTCAAATAAAACTTCATGGGTTTTGTTTGCAGTAGTCCCTTGTTAATCGCAGGGGATCCGTATCCTGAAGCCCTGTGCTAAGTGAAAAACTGCAAAGTAGGAATAGTTGTACAAGTAGTAGTTTATTTTAGTATATATATATATATATTTTTTTTTTTATTTATTTTTTCTTTTTTTAAATGTGTGTGTGTACAATAGTCCCTCGCTACTTCAAAGTTTGTTTTTGCGGGTTCGCTATATCAAGGTTTTTCAAAATAAGATTGGATATGACACAATTGGATGATTGATTCAAGGATTCAAGGATTTTTATTGTCATTCACAGCACATGTGGTACATGAGGTGGAACGAAACTATGTACATAGGGTCCCAGTTACATCCAACGAAAATACAAATTGTAAAGAAAAACATAAGATCTGAGACATGAAGTAAGAATATACTACATTCACTAAATTAAGAATACACAAAACTAATAATACACTAAGCACCATCAGTACAAAAACAATGCACCATAACAACAGCAGCACGAACATGAGTCTTTGTGAGCAGATGAGGACTAATGACCACATCAACTTGAAATAATCAGCAGCATGAGATCAGCATCGTGGATAGTCAGTAGCTCATATCAACAACCAAGTGACATTACAGAGATTTTTTTCACAGTAATTTTCCTGGTCAGAGAGTCATAAGTCTAACAGCCTCAGGGTAGAAGCTGTTTCTCAGCCTGGTGGTTCTGCACTTAATGGATGGATGAGCCATGGGTTGTTTATTTATAATTAATTATTTTAAATGATTTTGCACCATGTGTGAAGCCCACAAGTGAAAGAGAAAGCTCCCTTCTGCAACAGATCAGCTGATTTCCTTCTCTGCCACACACACACACACACACACACACATTTCTCCTACTGCAGCTTTGTGAAGGGTTAACCCTTTGCTGTCCAGATGCGTCAATCGACTTTTGTCTTCCTTAAATTTCAAAGTATGTCACATCATCAAATCATTGTAATCACAAAATATAAAAGTGTTGAAAAATATTTTTATTATTTTAGAACTTCCATGTTCAGTTGTTGAAGTGTAATTGATCAAGAAGTACATTTCTGCTCCGTGCTGCAGAGCTGAAGCTGTGACATCCCTTTGATGTCCTGCTGAACTTCTCTTCTCTACAATTTAAATACTGTAACATTTTAAATAAACAATACATGCTGCATGGCTTGGTTAATTAAAATCTTACAGTATTTAAATTTAAATTGTTTATTTAAAGAGGGAGATTGAGAGTAACAGTTGATGAGTGTGATTGCAGCCTGGCATATGTCATGACAAAGTTTACTGAACTTGAATTGAACTTGAATTTGGACTACTGTATCCCTACTTCATGGTTTTTCACTTATTGCGGGTGGTCCTGGTCGATAAACGAGGGACCACTCTCTGTCTCTCTCTCTCTATATATATGTATATACATATATATA